AACTCCTGTTGAAAGACGCTATTTCCAGGGTTCCCCAAGAGGAAGAAAATCAGGGCCAGCTGCCTCCAATCTGTTGATTAGTAGGCAGCAGGGTTCGCTGCAGAGGCCTGGTGGTTATAACTTTTCGGTTATTAAACCACAGACCTCGCGGCATTCCTCTGTCCGAGATACGCCACACGGTCACAATAAGCCCATGAGCGCCGTGGTAACGCCTCATGTGGATGTCACTGCACACACCTCCACTCATCCTCTGAGCGTGTACGCGCCTCATGATGAGTCGGAGTGAAATGCAGCGTGTGGAACCCACCTTGGGTTGCCTCATGGGCAGCGGCGGCGAGGGCTCTGGCGTGGCTCGTCGTCATGACGACCACAACACATCTCGAGCATGTGCGCCCGCTCAGAGTGTTTCTCGGAGTGGCAGCGCGTGTGTCTGATGGACAGATGGATGAGCAGACTGATCAGCAGAGGGTACACCCTGCAGTTCGCCTCTCCCCCCCCCCCACAGTTCAATGGGATACAGGAAACACTCCTGTCCTCCCAGAAGCTATGTCTTGCGCTCCAATCCGAGCCGCTGGAACTCCTGTTGAAAGAGGATATTTCCAGGGTTCCTCAAAGGGAGGAAAATCAGGGGTTTTCACTCCCGTTATTTTTCTAATCCCGAAAAAGACTGGGGCAATGAGACATCCTCGATCTGTCAGTATTCCACATGCTGACGATCAAACAGGTGCTGGAATGTGTTCACCAGGACGACTGTTTCACTTCCAGCTGCAGGATGCATACTTCCACGTACCCCTCATCCCGAAACACAGGAAATTCCTGCGTTTTCTCATTTCAGGGAATATCAGACCAGACAATCGTCTGCCGTTCGGATATTTCCTGGCTCCTCCCGTTTTTGTGTAGAGAAGGCTGGAGCCTACACAGAGGAGGGATGAGAGTGTGGTTTCCTCTGGACGACCTGCTATTTGCTGGCTCGCTCCAGGGAGGAAGTCGCTTTACAGACGGTACATCTCGTATCGCATCTGTCAAATCCTGGGTTTCATAATAAATTGGAAGAAGAGCTGTCCTCTTCCCTCTCAGACAAATGTTTATCTGGGAGTGGAATTAAACTCAGCCAGCAGAGCGCGGCTCTCGCGGCAGCGAGTGGAGGAACTGACAGCTCTCCTCCGGCATGTCACAACCCACACAGCCTTCTCCGTGACGCAGCTGCTCGGCGTTGGCGTCAGCTGGTCACGTGATGATCCCCTTGGGTCTCTTCCAACAGGGGGACACTCCAGAGGTGGTTCATTCGCTGCAGAAGCCTGCTGTTTTTAACCTATTGGTTTATAAACTGCAGAGCTCGCGGCATTCCTCCGTCCCAGATATGCCTCCTACACACGGTCATAATAAATCCACGAGCACCGTTATAACGCCTCGTGTGGACAGCATACACACACCTCTCATCCTCTGGGCGTGTACGCGCCTCATGATGAGAGACGGAGTGAAATGCAGCGTGTGGAAACTCCCTCGCAGCCCTTTTGCCTCACGGGCAGCGGCGATGGCGTGGCTCGTCACCATGACGACCATTACGGCACATCACAGAGAAGCCTCTCCCTCCCCAACAGTTCCATGGGATACAAGAAACACTCCCGTTATCCCAGGAACAGTGTCTTGCGCGGTTTACTCCCGCTATTTTTCTAAATCTACGGAAAAGAACGGGGGAGTCGCCCCGTTGCTGTACAATCAAACATGTGTTGATTTGCACAGACAACAGGCCACGGCTATGGAAGCAGCCTACCTCAATCGCCAGGGAGGAGTACGATCTGCGCAGCTTCTGAACACAGCCAGGCGGCTGCTGTTCTGGGCGCGCACACACGTTGCTCTCCATCAGAGCAATGTATATTCCCGGCGGATTTAACCGAGGGGCTCGCAGAACGCAGCAGCCGTTGTATGCGAGGAGTATGGAGACTCAGACCTGTGTCACGCACACTGAAAGGCGCCTCAGTGGGATTTGGCTTTGGTGTTACGCGCACTAAAGCAATGCCCCATTTGAACCTGATCAGGTTCCCCTTAAACTGTTTTCAGCCAAAGTAGTACTACTTTTGGCTCTATCAGAGAAAAGGGTGAGTGATTGGTCTGCTCTCTCTGTGGCTCCGTCAGCTCTCCGGATCCAAGGAGATGGCAGTTCAGCTGTTTTACGACTAACCCGGCTTCATGCCTAAGGTCATCACAACTCTTTTAGGTCAAGAGTGATCACCCTGGCTGGCTTATTCCCCCCTCCTTACAGGTCGGAGGAAGAAGCCACGTCTCATCTCCTCTGTCCTGTGCACGCGCTGTCTTGCTATGTGGCGCGCACGGCGGCCTGGCACCGTTCTCAGCGCCTGTTTGTGCACTATAGAGAGCGCTCGATCGGGCAACCTCGGTCTGCACAACGGCTGTCACACTGGCTGTGTGAGGCTGTGTCACAGGCATATGTCTCCTCTGGGGTGGAGCCCCCGGAGAATATCAAGGCGCACTCCACCAGAGGAATTTCCTCCTCCACAGCGTTGCACGGAGGAATGTCAGTGGAAGATATTGGCACTGCTGCATCTTGGTCTTCCCCCTGTTCATTTATTCATTTTTATTTGAGGGATGTCTCCCATTCCTCTCTGACGCACCCTGTAGTGGGTGTCCTGTCGGAGTGAGTGACGTCAGGGATCCAGCTGTGCGCCTCTCTCCTGCCTCTCGGCACGCGGAGAGCGGCCCTTTTCCCCTCTTATGAGAGGGATGTTCCTTTTTCCTCTGACACACTTTGTACGGAGTTCCTGGTCAGAGTGAGTGACGTCAGGGATCCAGCTGAGCGCTCTCCTACCTGTCTGATACGCAGAGAGCTGCTGTTCCCCCTCTATGATCGCAGGACAAGGTGGGACCTTCGTCTTTACTTTTTCACAGCGGCCGGTATGTATTGTTCCCAGCCTTCACCCCGTCGGGAAGACAGGCATGTTTTGCTATGTTCCAGGGACGGTGATGCGCCATTACGCTTGGCACATCAGGCAGGGGGGTGTTATTGAGCAGGTGTGTCTGTGCTTCTAGTGCCGGGCGGACCCAGTGGGGCGCAGACTACATCATGCTTCGCCCTTAACCCAATAGCGATAGCCTTAGAGGGCGAAGCCATATACGAAATAGAACTGAGGTGACCTACTGTAACCCAGCTTCTATGAGTAAATGGCGCAGCCCTCTAAGCGCTGGGCCCCACTGGCTCTACGAATAGCTGAAGAAAAGTTATATTGTATGGGAGCAGATTGCCGGGCCCCCTTCCTACTTATACCGGAAGGTGGCCCGAGGGTGGGGCCCACCTAGCAGGTGGGCGTGGACTACAAGTGTTTCAGTGCTGCGCGGGGGCGCAGAGGGATAACCCAATAGCGATAGCCTTAGAGGGCTGCGCCATTTACTCATAGAAGCTGGGTTACAGTAGGTAACCTCAGTTTTTTATTATGCTGCATGTTTTGTTTTGGACTTTACCCGCAGTAAACAATATGAGGTTGAGGAGGGAGAGATATGATTGCAGTAAAAGAGGGACTGAGGCATGCTGCTGTGTCATGCTTGGACTGTGTGTGTGTGTGTGTGTGTGTGTGTGTGTGTGTGTGTGTGTGTGTGTGTGTGTGTGTGTGTGTGTGTGTGTGTGTGTGTGTGTGTGTGTGTGTGTGTGTGTGTGTGTGTGTGTGTGTGTGTGTGTGTGTGTGTGTGTGTGTCTACAGCAGGTGGACACAGATTAACCAGTGTTCACAATGACTGTGCACTTATTCCCTCACTGAGCCTCCACTGTCTCCTCTTATATCGACTTTGAGTCTACGCTGCCTTTAGACGCATTCTTCACTCATCAGAAGCCAAATCACTTTTATTCTGCCGAGTTGAGAGATGAGACAGCCACACACACACACACACACACACACACACACACACACACACACACACACACACACACACACACACACACACACACACACACACACACACACACACACACACACACACACACACACACACACACACACACACACACACACACACACACACACACACACACACACACACACACACACACACACACCACACACACACACACACACAGTGACGAAAATAACTTTGTCACTATGGACTGACGGCTTCAGGCCTTGTATATTGCACATGTGTTTTTTATTTTGAAAAGTGTTCCCCCTCCCGTTCTTTCTGTTACTCCTGATCATGTTCACCTGGTGCCCTGTGTTGTCTCCTCCCTCACCTGTGTCTTGTTGTGCTGATTAGTGTGTAGGTATTTAGGCTCTGTTTCCCTGTGTGTGGAGGCAGGGACTGTGGGTGAGATCCTGGTGGCTGCAGGCTGGGCTCACGTGAACAGCAGCAGCAGCAGGATTGAGGCTGTGTGTGTAATGTGTTCATGTTTTAATAAATTCCCACACCGGGTTGTATTTTTGGACGTTCTGCCTCTGCCTCCTTGCTTGGTCGGGCCGCTCAATTGTCAGCGTCACACACACACACACACACACACACACACACACACACACACACACACACACACACACACACACACACACACACACACACACACACACACACACACACACACACACACACACACACACACACCACACACACACACACACACACACACACACACACACACACACACACACACACACACACACACACACACAAACAGAGAAACACACACACACACACACACTTCAAAATTCAAAGCGCATTCCATAAAAAACCCACTTTGATCCAGCTTTCTAAAACTTTTGTTTAATCCAAAAATGTATTTATAAAGCTACGATTTCAAACCTTTTCATTATTGTGACAAACGAATGCAGAGAGGTAATTAAGAGTAGGGCTTCAGAGATAATCCTCACATCACGAAGCTATTTTTCCCCACAGGAACTCACCTTTCTATTTCTGAAAAACTGAAATAAACCGATTTCAATGATTTCAATGATTCTCACTTTGTTCAGCCTTTGACAGCGGATCGGAGGACGTTTCTTTCTTACCGACGCAGTTGTCACAGATGCTGCAGTGAGAAGCTCGAGGAGGTCTGAAGATCTTGCAGGTGTAGCAGTACTTGAGCTTCACGATCTGGTTGTTGATCTGAACGTTGCGGATTCGAGGGGGGGCTCGCTGCCCCGCGGGGACGTTCCCATTAGCAGCCTCTGCGGAAACAAAGAAGAAAAAACATTCATAAGCAGGTGTTGGCAATCTTGATCACACAATGAACTGGAATGGCATTTGACGAGCAAAGACCTCCTCCACCTAGACCAATGGTGCATTCAAATGCTCCACGCTTCAGGTGGTCCCATTTCCTAATGTGGGAAGTCGGGCTTTATCTGTTTTATTTGTTCTATGTGCTATATATAGTCATGTTGCACTGTTGGAAGAGCCTGTGACCTAAGTTTTTCATTGCCATATCTACACTGTAGCTAGTGTGCAAATGACAATAAAGCCTTGAATCTTTAATCTTATGTGTTCATCAGCCTTACGTTTAATGTAACGCAACATGGACGTGGAAACAACAAGAACATGTGTTGCTTTTTATTGCTCAGAGCGTTTAAACAACACTTATATATTTTCCAAGTTCTTTTTCCGACTCAAGGGGGAGTTTAACTACGTTTTCTGAGTCGGGAACTCATTTTTTTATGATCATTCAGACCCAAAATGTGTGCAGCCAGCACCACTTTCTTATCTACCAATGCTACCTAAAGTCAAACATAATTTGTATATAAATAGGTTCTTCATTGGTCAATGCCTCACCCCAAGACAAGGGTTTATGCAAATAGGGCCAGTAGTTTTTCCATAATCATCTACACTGCTATTAAAAGGTTTTATCTCATGGTTATCTGCTACATACTGTACAACAACACTACAAACTATGTCCTCAAAAGTCACAACTAAAATCTCTGAGAATATTTTCACAATAAATGAATAGGTCTTAAACAGGCAGTGAGAAATGTGAGATTCAGTGACAGGGACAAGAAAAATAAGGGACGTAAATCTCCACAGCTGAACGTTGAGGGAGTCAGGGAACGATAGGATTGGCTCGATACAGTATTGATGATGCTGGATTTCTATGTAATCACTGCTGAGCTGTACATATTATGTATTATTATCAACACTGTGACGCAGTGTCCGGCTCTGTTTGGGCTTCAGCTAACCTTCCTAACACTGACATATCTTGAGGTGAGTCATTTAGACCTTGCTGATTCAGTAGCACTGCAGGAGCTGAGTGCAGAGAGCTAATGACCAGAGGGCTGAAACCTCTCCGGAGAGTTCTGTTAGAGAGAAATCCTCCATTACCACGCTGCATAGAGAAGCTGTGAATGTGCCGTTAATGGAAAAGAGCATTACGGAGAGCTCATTTGACTTTGTGGGGGTAAATTAAGAAAAGGAATGTGGCATTTGTGGAAATACATTATGAGGAGTAAGAAAACGTGTTCAGAGATTAACATAAACTAAAGTGTTTGTTTATCATTTGTATATATTACTGAATCCAAAAATCTGTATTGTAAATAAAAATGTGTTTGTATGCAAAGCTTCTATACATCTAGAGACATAAAGATGGTGAAAATGACTTGATCTGACGGCACAAACTGCTCAGCATCATGAATCTACTGAATGTGGGATTAGTGGCTTTCAGGATAAACCAGCGGAGAATAAACAAATGACTCATCACTCACGGGGGGATGATGCCACTCCCTCGGGCAGCAATGCTCAGTCTGGTAGTGGTATTATATATTCCAAGAGGATGCTTCTCCTCCTATTAGCAACCCCCCCCCCCCCCCTAGGGACTTGTGTCGAACAGGCTTCTTCCATACCTGCCTTCACTACTGGCTGTTCGCTGTTAGCACGCCCACACACATCACAGCAAACAGATACCATAACACAGTGGACAATACCCTCCATAGGAGCTGCAATTGACTCTGTGCACATTCTGGATATTAGGTGATGAAGAACCGGCTATTTTGGGAGATTTGCTGAGATGTGTTTGGTGGAATGTAATAATGGCCATTAGGTGCCTTTACCTGAATATCATTTTATTTGACCGCTTCCCGATTTAATATATATTTGGGTTTACTGGTGATTTAACAACAAAGTATATTTGTTGTTAAATCGCTCTGGGAACTTACAATACAACTTTATTTATAAAGCACTTTAAACCTCCAGACCAAAGTGCTGTACAGGCAAATAGATAAAACAAAGCATACAAAAAAGTAACACAGCTCAGCTCACACACCATAAAACAAGTACAAGTAAAAACAAAAAACAATTTAAATGCAAAAAAGCAACACTCTGAAAGATGTTGAAACGCCAAATGTTAAAACGCTAAAGAGAAGAGGTGGGTTTTAAGAAGCGATTTAAAAGCAGGCAGTGTGGAGGCCTGTCTGATCTCCAGGGGCAGAGCGTTCCACAGTTTGGGAGCCGCTACAGAGAAGCAACGGTCCCCTCTGAGCTTTGACCTGGTTTTAGGCACATTCAGGAGCAGCTGACCTGAGAGGGCGGGTGGGCGTGTAATGCTGTAGCAGCTCAGCAAGGTATGGTGGGGTCATGCCATTTAGGGATTTAAAAGTAAATAAAATAATTTTAAAATGGATCCTAAAATAAATAAATTAAGTGTTAAGTAACTTGTGATTATGATTTATATTTAAAAGACACAATTATTGGTGGAAGAAATTATTTAGAACTTGAGCAATGTATGCTCATCCAAAGTTTTGATGATGATGATATCTTACAAATTGATATTGTTCTTTTCAATGTGTTTTCCTCACAAATATCACACAAGCATTCGTGTTCCTGTTGTACAGAAACACGTTAGGCAACGATGTTTGTAGCTTTAGGAAAAGATTGCGGTTTGTAAAAGCGTCATTAAAGTACACAACCTAGGTAACAAAATACGTTAAAATATGTCATCTTTGACTTGGTTTCACTCGGGACTTGACCAGGTCTCCATGATTAAAGCCCTATGCTTTTTGACCCATCCATCCATTGACCCATTCCTAGTGAGATTTCCTTATACGGCTGCATGCATCAGGTCATCACGGCCGCAGCTATGACCAGCAAGCCATTGTCATGCTGCGAGTGGTATGAGTCACAGCCATGATGAGAGGAGTGCTGCCAGATGAACACAAGCCCTGCTTTTACAACCCCCCTCTGTCATGAGCCAGCCTCCACCCATGCCTCTCCACCGGAGTGAGAGCACGAGTGATGGCTGAAGGACACAGTGAATCTTTAACAGAGACGAAGAGTGAACATTGACCAGCCACACAGGCAGAAGGGGGGGAGGGTGCAGGGAGGGCTGTTGCAGAAATATTGCAGAATAAAATCTCATTCCTCCAAATAGGAAGAGAGTATGGCCAACCCAGGGAGAAAATATGCACTGCGTTTAATTAATTGTTTGTGTTTTTGTTTGCAAAGGCTTTGTTGTCAATTTGATGCAGCGTATCGTTTGTGTTGTGTAATGAAACAACAGGATCCTTTGTAATGAATGTGTGTTAGACTCAGCTCTACATCCACGGGGAGCACGGCCAACCTTCCGCAACATAAAGAATACCAAACATGAATAAACCAACAGGACTGAGGCTGTCTGCTCACTGCTTAACTAGCATATAAGCTGAAGTATTTATGCCCCCAAAATACTTTCTCTTGAGCTACCTCCAACATCATTTAGACCAGTGGTTCCCAACCTTTTTTCCCAAGAGCCCCCCCAAATGACTCTCCTGTTGGAAGTTGCACTGATTTAGACTAACAACCAAGAAATAAATGATGATGTAACAGCAGCATGGACTCTAATACCTTAACATTTGAATGGATGTAGATAAAGGATTTGTGCCGTGTGGCTTTATCAGCACTGATTGTGAATAACAGCCACTCAAGGTGAGGAGCAATCACAGAGGTGAGAACACACGCTACTTCAAACCTGGCAACACTCTAGAGGATCTGAGCTGAAGGTGCATGAAGAAAGAGGATACTGAGCTGTTCTTCTATTATCATTATAAGCTGCAGATATTTCATTTTAAACATTAGAATATACAATTGTTATGTGCTAAAATGCATTCTTCAGATTAGCAGAGCCATTTTTAGATTTCTTATTCTGGCAAAAGTAAAATAAATATTTCATGTCAAACTAATGGAATCACTCAGTTCACCAGCGAGTCCTCACTGTGTCTGCTGTTGATGTCGGGCAGGTAGTGTACAGTGAGTGTTTACTAAAAACAACTGCCTGCTCAAATGACAACACTATTAGAGTGACCCAAAACAGCAATGTTGCAGCCAGACAGACAAACAATGAGCTGACACGTTTACATCTCCATAAAGCTGAGGGGAGCGGCAGATTCAGCTGACCCATTTCACACTGACTTCATTTTACATTTTAGTCATAAAATATTGATTATAGCAACTTTAAATACATGTTCATCAAAGTACTGACACTATCACAACTCACACTTGATTATGTGCGTCTGCCACACAGGAGGACTTGTTCAGAGGATGTTCAGAGGATTCAAATCTGATCAAATCACACAAACACATATCATGCTTATGAAGTCATGAGTGTTCAATATTATAGAGAAGGATTGGAAGCCAAGTTTCGAGCAGAGTATTGGGGAGACAAGTGCTTTCTAGATTTGAGAGAATTCTTAAACTGTCTTTAAACTCACCAATCTCCATCTCAATGAATGTGGCTTCCTCTGGCAGAGCTCGTGGCAGCACCCCGGGGTCGCTGAAGCTCGTCCTCAGCAACATGGCGATGACGAAGAAGAAGAGCACGATGGCGAAAACTGGGACGGAAGGAGACAGATGGACGGCCAGGTACGGACATCTGTGGGAAAGCAAAGAGGATGAAGAGCCGGTCAAAAAGCAGGTAAGGTTTCTCAGAAAGGTTAAGAGGGGAGGGGAGTATTTTATATAGCATACTATTAGAACAATGTATGTTTTTGATACCTCTATTAGTTTTGTGTCTCATTCTTAACATTATTTGACCGTTTTAACTGTTGGTTGAACATTTTGCACCTTGGATTTGGGAATGTGATGGACATTTCTCCAACATTTGATAGACAAAAGAAAATAGTTGCCAGAAGAATGTAATTGTTAGTTGTGTAATTTCCCACAAAATGATTATCCTTTGAAATGTCATGTGTTTGCATCACATGAACACAGCAGATAAGAGAAGCTGTGGAGTTCATTATAAAAGCGGCCTGTGCAGAGAGGGCACGACACGACAACACACACATTCTGAACTGGTGTTGCGAGCACAAGGTCATGAACCACGAGAGCTGCCCTTTCTCCGAACCGTCCCGAAGTCATGGCCGTGAATAAACAACACCGTGTCGCACCCCCCCTCACCTTCTGGAGAAACATTAGCATGTCCCCGTTAGCCCGGCCACTGAGACCCCAGCCAGCGGAGCTCCTGTTGCTCAGGGCGATAACAGATGAGCTGCAGAGGCATGAAGTTATTAATAGTTAAACTGTGCGGCCTCATCTCCCTGCCAGGTGGACGGGATCATATATATATTCATAATGCAACACTAATGCTGCTCTACAGGAGAGAAAGGTATTGTGCTACATCCTGTACAAGACTGACTTTTGTTCTGATGCCATGCATAACACAGACTGCACACAGATGACACATCCTCTGCTTTATTATATAGACGATGCAAAGGAGGACCATATCAACTCTGCAATATTTTTAAAACTCTCCTCTGAAGAGTCATCAGGCTACATTACATACATGTTATCACCTTTTCTTGAATTAAACATATTCAGTAGTAGTTCAGCAAAACGATTGTTCTAAAGCTGATGACAAAACATAAATCTGAAGTTTTTTGGAAAATAGATTGATTGTTCAAGTTATTTTTCAAGCAGAAATCAAATCAATCTTATGCTTTAATTATTCTTAAATGGTAATAAACTGACCATAATTGGGTACTGCCCTAAATAGATATGACCTTGGCCATTAATAACTTTTTAAACAAAATGATCAATTGTTTAAAACTAATCAGCAGATTAATAGATAAAGAAAGATGGCTTAGAAGCAGCCTCAGGTATAAGTAGTCAGGTTTTTAAAAGGGTTTTTGGGTGCACAAGGTTCATTTGTGTGGAACATAATATCCAATACTGACAGCAGCCATGTATCCGTATCACATATCAGCCAAAACACTGCAGACACAGTTACATAAATGAGTATGAGATATCAATAACTCTCAGGGGGAGAAAGCAGCACTAATGCATACATATGGTTTCATTTCTCAGTGATTGTTTAGTTTTGATTTGTTTTATCAGACTGAGCAATCTTATATTTGGATACAAATGTGCTGAAATACAGAACCAATAAACGAAAATGTGTATCTGTCAAAATACATATGGACTGCACTGTAGCTGTACATCATCAGACATCCCATAATAAGTTATTTAATCGAACAAGCAGCTATTTTTGATCGATAATAAAGCAGCCAAGTTGGTTTCAGCCTCTGTAAAGTGTAGATCTGCTACCTAGTCTGTTTTAATTCATTTTAAAGTGATTTGAGTTGAGACCCTGACAAAAGGTCTATTTAATCACTTCCAGTGCCATCTGTTATTGTTTTGTCCAGGTTGCATTTCGTTTTCATTTTAACTGCACATATACAGCGCTAAGGGGAAGGATGTAACTAAGTCAACAACTGCCTCAGCTCAACATGGCAGAGAACAAAGTCTACCTGCCTAGCTGCACCTGCTCGTGTAGCTACACCATGCAGGTACGTCAGCATACCTGTGCACTTGTGAAACAACACGCACAAAAACACAACACCAGCTGAACAGGTCAGAGCAGTTTCCCTGCAGTATCCTTTCTCACACAAATGGAAACTAGGAGCAGCGATTAAATCAATACAGGTTTCCAGTGGACCGGCCTGTGAAGTATGTTAGGCCCATTTGAGAGAGCATAGAGCAGCCGGAGGATTCAGACGGAGGAGAGGCAGCCTGCGGGTGAAGTGTAATTCCCGTAATGATGACTGGTAGGTATCGGAGGCGCACTCAATCATCGGCTTCCCATCATGCGCCTCCACGTCCTTCCTGGATGTGACCGTTTCCTCTGCTGTGGAGGAGCAGTTGTGTGTGCTGTGTATTCATCAGTCACCACAGAGCAGCAGAAAAAAACTGGACTTAATCGAGCCCATGTGGAGAAAATATTTTCATCAGTGAGGCGATCAATCAGACCCCCAAGTGACACTCATGCCACTTACACATTACCTCTCTCTCTGCCTCTCCTTTGAGGCTAACAATAAACTAGCTCCTGTGGTGGAATGCAACCGAGTACATTTACTCACTTACCCCAGCCAGCAACACTGTGAAAATGCTACTTATGTGTTAAAGGGTTTGTTGGTTGTTTTGAAGCGGGGTTGCATATGATCCATAATGAATGTACTGTATGACCTACAGTACATGTCAAGTGGCACACTCCCAATTATAGGAAACAGACAGGAGTCGGACCACAGGAGCTAAGAAATGTACTTTGGTGGACAGGCGCAGCAGCAAAACACATTTTACCTCTTTAAAAAAAGGCCCACCTATCAATTTAATTGAAATGAGTTGGAGTTTTCACTTTATTTTGAGATTTTTACCGCATGTCCTTGCTGTCAGATTGCCCTTCCCGACAGAAGCTTTTTTCTATGCTTCAACTCTTCAAAGTCACCAGATTTACCTCGCAGAACACAGAGGTTGCTGGACTATAGCTGCCTTAATCATTTAGTCTGTTATTGTGTTACGCTGTTGAATATAAAGCAACCCTTCAAAACACAAAAGTTACAAATGAACCAAAACATAGTTACAGATGGAGGGCAGAGGTAGACCAGCACCTCTGATGTTCTGCAAGGTAACATTACTGTGTTTGTCAAAGGAGTCTTGGAGCTTTGACAAGAGCAACCAACACCGAGCAGCCTTCCCTGAAACACCAAGTGGGACCAACGTTGCATTTTGGGTAATGTAGGCGCCAGGTTTTACAAAGGAAGGAGAAAGTGTAAAACCAAAAAAAAGGTTTTTAGGGACGATATGAATTCCAAACTGCAACACAGAAATATATTTTCATTTCACTATGAAGTGTTTCTTCCATATGACATAACACATTTAGTTTAATCAATGGTCCGTACAAATGTTATAAAATCATTAAGAGAGTGACCATTAGACCCTAGGGCTATTCCAATATAGAAAATATCGTTTTTATGGCTTAATAAATTGAACCATTAGCTTAAAACCTGCAATCAGCTTCCAGTCATGAGAGAACATAATCACATACACATATGAAAGATAAACAGAGTTACACAAGAGATAGTGAACTGTACAGTACGGCTGATTCTGCAACCAAAGTGTGATGTTCGTGTGTGTGTGTGTGGTGTGTGTGTGTGTGTGTGTGTGTGTGTGTGTGTGTGTGTGTGTGTGTGTGTGTGTGTGTGTGTGTGTGTGTGTGTGTGTGTGTGAGAGATGCATTAAGGAGAGTCTACTGCAGACTTTGATCTAAAGGATTTTCCCTCTTAACTCAGGATAACATGGGTTTAAAGGTGAGAAGCTTCTTTAGTAGGGATATTGCTGAGTTTAAATCACTTTAACCTTTCAGCAATAAATCCACTAAACTCATGATGATGACTTCACCACTTCATGCCTCGGTGACTCATGACATGTTACCTTTGTTGAACATTTCACAGCTTTACATTATAAATACTTAACAGTTGTAACCCCGTCATACAAACATCTGTGGACTATGACTCTGCCTGTTTCAAAAATAACAAAAGCACAAACTCTACTTGCCCTCTCCCTTTTTTCCACCAACAGACATAAAACCTACTTCATTACCCAACTTGGTAGATATTCTGAGTAGAGGAGGGGGTTTCATAATTCCTTTCGTAAGGTCTTTTGCTTTTTTCTTCATGCTTCTACAGTTTGAGCCTCTCATGCATTACCATTACATTAAACATTTACCAACGTAACACTACTCTACTGAAAGTGTTTCTAGAATGAAGATTATAACGTTTTATAACCATTTCAATAAACAAATATTCATCCTGCTCCACTCATTTAAAAAATGTCCTTTTTTTAAATTATATTTTCCTTTTGTTTTGCAAACACAGGACGGATATGTCATAGGCTACCTGTATTAGGGGTAAAGTGCAATCCAGTCATATGAGAAACAGGTTAGAAATCTATCAAAATGGTTTGAAAAGCCTTGAAGGAATCAAGAAAAACCTTGAAAGCAGCAGTTAATGTTACAATGTTAACCTTCAAGGTTTTAAAAAGATTGCAAAGTATTTTTTTCTTTTCATAACATTCAATGCTGTGACTCAGATGTAATGTTTATAAATACGGAAAATCCAGAAACATGTCCTTTAAAACCTGATCCAATAAATGAATGCGTTAAAAAGAGGCTACACTTGAGATGAAGAGGACACCATCTGTTGTCCAGTTTAAATCAGTCATCCTTGTTATGCAATCCTTAAATACCATATGAGAGAGATGAAACATGAGAGCCACGGTCATAGTCCTTTTACCAGGATTAAAGCTAGGATTACAGATGTTGCGTCATAGAATACTCACTAAGTGAAATGAAGAATGATGAGAAATATGATGATTTAATGTTGTCAATGTCCACATGAAAAAACAATACTACTGAACAACATTAAAGATGTAGTCATTTATAAAAGGAAAAATCATCGAAGAGTGCATCTAATTCAAGCCAAACACTTCACAAAACAACGTGAGGTAAAGTGTAAAGTGTGCCTCCCTGTATGGCACAGGTTGTGGGCGAGAATAGCAGCAAAGAGAAGCATCCAGAGAACAAAGCCTGTAGATCACTGTTATAGTAAATGGTGCACATACTCTGAATAGAGCATAAATCATGTTATTGCTCATTCAGTCAGGGCTGGCGGGTGCTTTCTGATTGGCTAACAGGGAGACAGGGTGGGGTTGGATGCTGAGGGAGGCTCGGTTACAAGATCTCCTCCGACTGCAGCCGCCTGCCCTGCACTACTCAATATGTGTTCACATTTTATAAGGCTGATAGGGCATATGTAAGGATGTAGAGTACAACACAAACACACACACACACACAGTCACACACACCAAGGATCACTCTCATTACAGTACATGCACACATGCTACGCTGGCCTCGTAGCTGAGCATCCTGCAGTGGAGAGACAGATGACACACTCTCCTTGTGTTCCAGTTTCTTTTTCCTTCATCCAAGCTCCATAGGTAGCAACGCACATTCACATATGCCTGCATGCACGCACTACATTTACACCAACATACAAATGGGAACCGAACCAGTGAGTATCAAACAGCGAGGAAGCGTTAGTTACCACCTTATACAGCATCCAGGTATAATATAAATATGTAAAATCCAATTTCAAAATCAGATCAGTGGGTATTAAAAGGGCAGAAACCAACAGCGTGAGGACACACAGCCCTAAAATTGATTCCAGGGGAAAACAGGCTGGGCCCATCTCTTCCCTGAGTAATTTGTTTAGTTGTTCCTAATGGCTTTTTCCATTTGTGTATTCGGGCTGCTCGTTTCCGCAATTTAGCACAAATTAAAGCAGAGAGAAGTCTCCCTGCACGGGATGCTGATGCCTGGTGATAAAAGTGAGACGTCTGTGTGGATGGTGTTGGATGTGAGCCAGCCAACGCCAAGACACTGCCCTCGCTGTTTACCCATCATGCACCGCTGCAGCTCACAGATGCACCTCAGGCACGTGAGGAACGAACTCTCCAAAACAAGGAAACGACGCCACAAAGAAGGCTGAACCACAGCTCAATGCACCAACAAGCAAACATTTAAAATCAGATTATAAGGATGAATTGTTGGGCATATTTTGTTTTTAATCAATGCCAAGACTTTTACATATTGAGTTTTTGATAAATGATGGCCACTGAATGATGTTTTGGAACAGACAATATTATAAATCATATTAGTTGGAGCTGTTATGGGTACATCTATTGATTGGCTACTATTTTTGAAAATGTATTTATTCTCATATTCAGCGCAAGATGAGGGAAACAATCTGCAGAGTTGTTTGCTGGCAAAACAACCATCTAATAATGCTAAGAGTCTATAGTCAAACTGCGGCATGCTAACCCCATAATTACAACTAAACACAAAGTATAGCTGAGCTGATTGAAATGTCATTAGATTTGCAGGTAATTGGCAATAAACCAGAGTAGTTAACAATAACTAAATAAATACATGTTGACCCGATAGTGGCGCTATATGAAAATCAGGGTATCACCAAAATGATTACAATGAAGGGGGCATGAATGTATGTACTAAAATGCAATGGCGATCCATGTAATGGTTCTCAATATATTAGTGAAAATGCCAAACTTCAATGACGTCTTCTTTTCAAATGTTATGAAGTGCTGAATGTCTTACATGATGTTAAACTGAACGCTTCTGGGTTTGAAACTGTTGCTCGGATAAAAAAAGCAATTTGTAAACACAAACCAGGAAATATAGAATGAGTCTTTGTTCACCATTTCTTTAAATGACTACAAAATAATTCAAAATCTAGTGAATATAAAAATGTTCTGCAGATAAATCATCAGTGGGTATTCCACTCTCAATATTCATTCCAAGAAAGAGTGCAATTAGAGGTTTTAATCCTTCTATTAAGCACAGATGCAAGTTTGCAGTTTGTGAATGCATTAAAGCTCTTTTTGCAGAAGGCTATTCCTCCGTCAGAGGGTTAAATCAGATAAGCATCAACATGCCGTGTAATGGCCAGTTGGAAATTACCCCCATGTCATCTGGGTGCAATCTCTGCGTTAATATCCATGCACCTAAGAGAGATAATTATGTTCAACTGTAATATAAACATAGCATGCTGACAACCCTCCAGCCATTAGTCACCACAATGGCTCCTCTGGGCTCTGGACCTTCGGTGTGAGAAGTATCATCTCTCTGCCTCTCCGTTTGCTCCGGATAACAGCTGCTTCTGTCCGGACTCAGAAGAAAAGCAGGAGGCCATTAAAGTGCAGAGCAGATAAAGATGGGAAGGGCCTGGCACTATGTGAGCTACCTCTCTTCTCTGCTATACTTTAAATCCATTTGGCCTGCATGTAAACACCCTCAATCAGTACAGAAGAGCACGATTGTGAGCTAAATCATTCCGTCTATTTGTTGAAAACTGGCAAGATAAGAGAGAAGAAAGAGGAAACAAGTGGTATACACAGAAAGTGCAATCTAAATGAGAAGCAGCGCTGCTTTATGATCATCATTTAAATTCATGTTCGTCCCGTTAAAAACAATCCTCTGCGCAGCCTGACAGGATTTGGGCTCTCATGCTGCGTACGAGCCTGTGTTCGCAGAACTAATGAGTCCACTGGGTGTGTGCGAGTAGTGGTTTGAGACAGAACTGCTGAGACAACAAAAAGGCAGCTTTCCTTTCTTAAAGCAGAGCAGAAGCTGGGCAGCTACTGGCTATTAAATATTTAACACCTCAGTATGTGGTCAATCATAAACCTCTTTCCTGTCCCGGACTGAGGAACCAAACATGGATCCACAGAGTCACTGTGATCTTTCTATCAGCACAAGAAAACAACAATCCAAGATGCCCATCAGCTCACATTTTGCTTACTAATGTCCAATTCTCATTTGAAACTATTGACTATCAAATATGTATGGCAGTAATTGTTGAGATGAGACTTCAAGTTTGAGTTGAAACAAAAACATGTAATATCTTGTGGTTTAAGCCAAAAAGAAATTGATGATTTTACCTTTTCCTTCATCGTAATGATAGTAACCTAAAGAAATGTGCTAGCTGGTTGGATAAAACAGACCATTTCCATTAATCCAATTAAGTTTAACAATATGTTATTTCACTACTTTCTGATATTTCATTGGCAAAACTGCATAAATGGAGAAAATATTTGAATAAAATCTGAACAAATCCCCTGTTGACTTCTTCAGATGTCTTATTCTGTTTAAAACAAAAATGTGAAGAGCTGGGCATTCACAAAAACTGACTGGAATTGATGAATCTATAATCCATAAAGCTTCCATGTTATCTTCTGTCTATCATCTTGTCGAACATTGGATATTTAACAACCACTCCTTCTTCATCATATTCACAATGAATTAGATATTTGTTTGGTTTTTATATGCTGTGTGCTTAAAGATGTGTTTCTGTGAATTTCCCTGCGGAGATCAATAAAGGTCCATCTTAAAATTGTTAGTGAGAGACTATGTTGTGATGTTGCATGTACAATTATAATTGTAATGTCTGTTGGTTGTTCTATGTGTAGCTGCCTAGGGACTGCAGATGAAAATAAGCTAATAGCTAAATCTAACATTTGTTATGCATGGTCCTTGTTAAAAAGGGACTAATCATTTTTGCACTGATTGTTGAAGCTCTCAAGTTGGATAATGTTGGAAATGGCAATACTGTCAGCTAGCTTAATACAGAAATATTGGGAATGTGTGTATTTATTTTGTGAAGAACCACAAGAGCCTTAAAATGACTTGTGAACCCTCTCAGGAGCAAATCATCAACGAGTGATTTCATTATGGAGTCAGAGGCAGGAAATGAACTCACTCAAAGGCGAAGAAGAGGGAGCAGGTCCCGACAATGAGGAAGAGGGTCAGGTAGAAGACTCCCTTCTGCCGGGCCATCATCACCCTGCCGTCGCAGCAGAAAGTGTTTTTCCCCGGCAGCTTCTCCCATTTTCGCACCTTACGTGTGATCATCACCGCCGACATGGTGCCCTCTCTTCAGATCTCAGTCCTTCTTTAGGTTGATGCCAGCTGTTATACTGTAAAACGATTCAGATACCTCTGATTCAGAACCTGATAGCTCTTACAAATATTGCCCAGTCAATGTGACACAGTCCACTGAGGAAGAAATACCCGAAACGACTCAATGTGTAATATTAAAGATGTCAGCACAAGGTGATGATTGTAAAGCATCTTCTTTTCGTAGTTCGCAGTCACATCATCGTTGTGTTTTCATGTCCATTTGTATTTCCAGTCTTTACTGCAGCATGTCATTCCCACACTGGGGCTCCCACGCTGCACCGACAATCTCGATCCTCTCACAGGACAATATTAATTAAAAAATAATATATTAATTAGAAATTAATCCAAATGCTCGCAGCAGATGTTTCCCACAAGGAGCAAGAAAATCCGGCTGGGGCTGTTGCATCGGGATCTTGACCGAGTGACATTCATATCATCTCGATAAATCATAAAAGGCGTTCCCAGACATTACACTTTGACCATGCGGCTGGACGTGGACAATATGCCTTCTTGTATTAAAAAATAAATTAAAATCCTTCAGAATTAGGAGACAGCAGTCAGTATGGAGGAAACATGTAAAGCTGTTAAATTCTTTTTTCCTCCTGCAGGAGCCAGCCCTCGGTTTGAGTCAATGGCAGCAGCAGGAAACACGCCTAGATTGAAATGTCTTATCTTAAAGGGGCAGGACAGGTAAAGCAAAGCGAACAAAGGACGAAGATGAAGGTCTTATTTGGATCACATGAATATGCTGAATTGCTCGCCTGTGGTATTACCCAAGGGGGAGACTGTGAAGGAGTGTATTTAATGAAGGTAATTGGTTTTAGACACCAGATGCATTCATCCCCAAAGTGTTGCTCTATATGTAGTTTAAAGCAAAGCAGAGGTAAACAGTGCAGAGGTCCACATAATAAATACACCTTTCACATATAGATTAGGTATGTTTCCTAATAATAATAATACATGTTATTTATAGAGCACTTTTCAGGATAGTCAAATACACTTTACATGTTAAAATACATTAAAACAACATTAAAAAAAACACACTTAAAATATATAAAACACAACAATAATGACAGATGAAAAGCAGTTCTGAAAAGGTGAGTTTTGATTTGAGATAGGTTAGTTATTCCACCTCCATTGATACATTTAAAACATGTCCTAATAGCAATCTCTTGTTAAGAAAAATAAGTCTATAAAATCGAGAGACGATTTGAAGATGTAAGACATTTTGTCATTGTGTCATTTTTATTTTTAATAATCCACCAACACGAATCCTCTTTTCTAATTTTCCATTAATGGGACTACAAAAAAACGAATACATCTGGTAGCACTAGTCCGTGTAGCTCCATTTCAATTGCAATAATAACATCTGTTTAACCCTGTAAGGCCCACGGTTGTAATTTTACAACATTACTTTAAGCTATCCTTTTTTTTTTAAAGACTACATTTACATAGTCAAAGGGTCCTTTTGTTCAGCCTCAATGCTATTGGGTAGTACATGTGTTTATAGGTCCTGCCCTCTGGCCATATACTCACACAACATCCGAATCTTCAAACGAGCAACATCTCTTTGTTTTATTGGACTGGATTTGTCAGATTCAATTAAGTAAAATGCCTCAAATATTGTTTTTTGTGATTATTACAATGTCTAGAACATGTACATATTTAGTCATTGTGGAATACATTCATCCAATTTGATTTTGAGCAGCTTATGTCTTTGTACAACACTGGGTCAGTGTGGTTGTCAAAATAGCACGTGTCCCTGTCATGGAGATTGCCCTTCTTATATGTTCACATATGGAAATAAAACACTAATAGAAATATGATGTCTTTGATAATTCACTATAACTAAGTTCTAAATGGGTCCTCTGTTAAGATTTTTGAATTAAAACCAGAATTGAATAAATGAATACATTATTTCTGATAAAAGTATGTGAAATTATATCTGTAGCAATATTTAAACTCTACTTGTATCTTATCAGTTAATTAGTTACAGCAATACATTTAACTCTGGTTCTGGCAGAAACAGTTCTTTCTGAAATGTTTTGGGACACTTGGATGTATCCCTTTTAGTATGATAATTAGCCTATTATCATTAGCCAGACAGCATTGTGTGACTTGTTGAACTGGTTTACCTGCATGTGTGGTTGTAGGTATTGTTTTTATTATGATAATAGGCTAAGCCATGTATTGTGTGACTCAAGTATACAATGTAAATAGGATTCAGATACTTGTTGCATCGGGACACCTGGAAGGGGGGGGGGGGAAGCATGCATTCCTTATAGTAATAATAGGCTAAGCCAGACAGAATGAACACATGTTCCACCACCATTGTCACGATCTGTCTTTATGGTGTTTTGTCTTGTCTTGTTTCATGTTTTATTTTGAAAGGTCTTCACTTCCTGTCTTGCCTGTTTCTGTCTGCGTTGTGTCTTGTTTAAATCTGTCTGTGGTTCCCGGTCGTTAGTTTCCCTGGTGTGTCTAATTTACCCGATTGTGTTTACCTGGTGTCCCTGTGTTTTCTCCTCCCTCCTCACCTGTGTCTTGTTTCTGTGATTAGTCTTGTGTGTATTTAAGTTCTGGTTTTTCTGTCTGTCTTTGTCGGTTCGTCTTTTGTCATGACTAGTTCGTCGGTGAGTGTTCTGTTTTGTCTTTGTTGTTCACCTAGCCTTGACATAAAGGAAGTTTCACTTTATTCTTCATTTGGGTCCTACCTGCTTCACACACCGTGACAGAACGAACCGACCACAAAATGGACCCAGCAGATGATCCATGGGAGGTTGAATTACAGCATTTAACCTTCTATCTGGCTTGCTGCTTCGATTGGTGGAAGGGAGCGTCCAGTGTTCGGCAGAAGAGGGCCGCTCTGGTAGAGGCGCTCCGGTTGGCAGCAGAGAAACCATGTTTTGTTGAGTTTTTACTAGGGCCGGGACTCGATTAAAAAAATTAATCTAATTAATTAGAGGCTTTGTAATTAATTAATCGAAATTAATCGCATTTTTAATCACATATACATATTTGACCTGAGAACAGTGAGAAGCAATTTTTTTCACATGGATTTTAGTATACCATTAGGCGCACCGCAGTACTTTTCCCACAAAGGTTCATGAGAATTTAGTTCATGAGAACTCTTTGAACCTGGGGGTGGATTAGGCAAATGAGCCGCGACGTCACATCTTCTTCTTCTGCTTTGGGTTTACTGGCAGGCCGCAAACCACTTCACGGCGTATACTGCCGCCCAAAGTCCCCGGCCGGAAGTCCCCGGAGTTGGGGACTGGCTTCAGTAGAAGCTGCTGGGAGTCCCAGCAGCTTCTACTGAAGCCTTCCGAGTAAATCGCCAGAACGCCGACACCTCCTCATCTCCACCGCTCCCATGGTTTATTTTGTGTTGCCATAAATTAGTCTCTCTGCGTTTCTGCGCTGGGCTAATGCTAATAATGCTAATGCGAGGATAATAAAATGGCGGCTTCACAAACTTTTGGGGAGTTTTACGGGGCGTGGTTTGCAATCCGCCCAGCCAATCAGACATATAACTCTTTTCTCACAAGAGAGCCGTACGAAAGTCCCTGCTCTCTAGCAGCTCTCTGCTCTCTAGCAGGGACTTTCGTGGGGGGTAAAAAGGTTCTCATGAACTAATTTTAGTACCGGCTCTTTTTGGTGTGAACGCGATAAAAGAGGCTAACGTCCACGCTAGCTTCCACGTTAGCTGCTATATGTTTTGCATTGAGGTGATACTTGAGGCTTGATGTGCTGCGGTGATATGCGAATTCCATTTTGCATAATTTGTACACAACCGTGCTCTTATCGACGCTTCCATCCGTCCGTTTTTTAAAACAACATTTCCCACTGTTGTTCACTGTGGTTTGTTGTTGTCTGAAGTCATGAACGTTAGTTGGTGCTCCAGTATAATCGGTACGCCTGAAACTCATCCAGTGAGAAACGTTCCGCGGTGCAAAAATAAGTGCGATTAAAATGCGTTAATTTTTTTAACGCGTTAATTTTTGTGTAATTAATTAATCTTAATTAACGCGTTAAAGTCCCGGCCCTAGTTTTTACCTGACTGGATTTTGGACTTCCTTCAAGCAGTGATTCCAGGCATGCTAGCTCCCTGTCTCCCAATTCCCAACCTGGCACCATACGCCTTGGTGGGTTCCGCCTGAAGTCAACCCGTGCTTCTGCCCCAGTTCCTGCTCCTGTCCAGGAGTCGTATTCCGGAACTCGTCAGGCTTATGGAGGTCCACGGAGTATTCAGGAGGCTGCTAAGAGGAGTCGTCGCAAGGCCAGGCTAGCAGCCCGAGCCCCAGCAGCCATGGTTCTGTGCTCCAGTACCATCCCACATAGCCATGGTACCGTGCTCCAGTACCACCCCACACAACCATGGATCCGTGTTCCGGTTCCTTGCCCAGCAGCCATGGTTCCGGCTCCAGTGCCGGCCCCAGCAGCCATGATCCAGGCTTCAGCTCCGGACCTTACAGCCATGTTTCCGGCTCCAGAACTGGATCTTACAACCGTGGTCCCTGCACCTGAGCTGGCCCATACAGCCATGGTTCCGGCCCCAGTTCCAGCCATGATTCTGGCTCAAGTACCGGGCCCAGCAGCCATGGTTCCGGCCCCAGTTCCAGCCATGGTTCCGGCTCAAGTACCGGCTCCAGCAGTCATGGTCCCGACTCCAGCACCTCGTCTCCTGCTGGCTCCCCAGCCGACGCCAGCTCCCCGAGTCTTGTCGGCGTACCGGCCGACTCCAGCACCTCGTCTCCTGTTGGCTCTCCAGCCAACACCAGCTCCCCGAGTCTTGTCGGCGTACCGGCCGACTCCAGCACCTCGTCTCCTGCTGGCTCCCCAGCCGACGCCAGCTCCCCGAGTCTTGTCGGCGTACCGGCCGACTCCAGCACCTCGTCTCCTGTTGGCTCTCCAGCCAACACCAGCTCCCCGAGTCTTGTCGGCGTACCGGCCGACTCCAGCACCTCGTCTCCTGCTGGCTCCCCATCCGACGCCAGCTCCCTGAGTCTTGTCGGCGTACCGGCCGACTCCAGCACCTCGTCTCCTGCTGGCTCCCCATCCGACGCCAGCTCCCTGAGTCTTGTCGGCGTACCGGCCGACTCCAGCACCTCGTCTCCTGCTGGCTCCCCATCCGACGCCAGCTCCCCGAGTCTTGTCGGCGTACCGGCCGACTCCAGCACCTCGTCTCCTGCTGTCTCCCCAGACGACGCCAGCTCCCCGTGTCCTGTCGGCGTACCGACCGACACGAGTCCCCTCGCAAGTCCCCTCTCAAGTTCCTACCCGAGTCCCCTCTCCAGTTCCTACCCGAGTCCCCTCTCCAGTTCCTACCCGAGTCCCCTCTCCAGTTCCTACCCAAGTCCCCTCTCGAGTCCCCTCTCGAGTCCCCTCTAGAGTTCCCTCTCGAGTTCCCTCTCGGGTCCCCTCTCGAGTCCCCTCTCGAGTCCCTTCTCCAGTCTCCTCTCAAATCCCTTCTCGAGTCCCCTCTCCAGTTCCCTCTCAGGTTCCCTCTCAGGTCCCCTCTCGAGTCCCTTCTCGAGTCCCCTCTCCAGTCAACTCTCAAGTTCCTACCAGAGTCCCCTCTCGAGTTCCCTCCTCTAGTCCCTCCTCTATTCCCTCCTTTAGTC